GGACTTGAATTGGAGTAAATAGAAATTCACTAATACTTGTTTTGACAATGAGGAAGAGAAAATTCAAATACCGGTACCCATTAGTAATAAGTCTTGAAGTATTGGGATTGAAAGGGTGTTGGATGCGAATTTTAGTGAATGTTATTTTACTCTTTTCATTTCAGGCATAAGGGTTTTTTAAAAGACTGTCCTAATGGGTCACTTAGCCGAGATGTAAGTATGGTACAATACAGTACATTCATTCATTCATTCATTTGATTAAGTGTAGTTTCATCAGATATCATAGATATCAAAGTATTGTACATCTATTTAGTTTTTGCATGTCTTTCACATTATACATTTTTGGGCCGTAAACCAAATCCTGTAGTTAGGATGATTGGGTTCAGTGATTCCCCCCAAAACATTTTAGGGTATCGGCCACTACTCTGTGATTTACGCCAATACTCTTGGCAGGTTGATTGCAACTCTGAAGGTGCCCACCTTGACAGATCTGATCTGATCTTTTAGATTGTCATATTATGAATCGGATATAATCAATCATCAACAATATTAAATAATATATTTTTGGCAATATATCCAATTTTAATTAACTACTGGTAATGGCTCTCACTGTATGCAGTCATGTATCTTTAGGAAAAATATAACTGGACAATTTTTTAGGGAGAATACTGGGATTGCAAGTAATTATTATGTTGAATTATGACTGATGTGGCATCTCGGCACCTTGATCATTTATCGTTTTGACAAACATTAACACTGGCACACAAATAACGCTTCTCATATTGTATACGTCAGTTTGAAACCTGTGCCTCGCATATTTTTTTTCACAATTTTGCATACAGGTGATGTGCGCCACATACAGTAGAATGGGGGAAATGTTTGTTTTCTAGTTTTCTTGTCAATTCAAATCAACCTTTAATGCATGCATTTTGAAGCATTCATGTTAAATATTGAATAATCTTAATACAAAGAAATAATTAATATAAAAAAAAAATTAACTGTCTCCAAGACGAGGAGCAAAACTTTTTTTTTATCCTTTACCCAGGAAATGTGTATTTTTTGATTTACATGTTCACTGAACTCTGCTTATCTTCCGACATGACTTGGGTGAGGTGGGGGGTCGGGGGTTATGTGTGGCATTTTACAAATGTAGGTTGTATATTTGATAAGTCAGGTTCAATTCAGGGTCACCAGTCAGTAACCACATAGACAGTTTCCGCTGGGTTCATGTGAAGCAAGGATTTACCCTCAGTATAACCTTGCATTTTAATCCGTAATAACATTTTTAGTAGGTTACCTCTTTGAATGCCTTAAATTTCTCCTGGCAAATTTTTAGTGGCTTTAAAGGTTTTTCTGTATTTTCATTCTGAATTTTTTTAGAACAAATAAAAATAATTTTCCATTGCTTTTATCTTGATCAATTTTGTTTCCACTATAAGATAACAACTATGGATATTTATTTTTACGAAAAATCTTTGTCATTAGTTGTTGGATTCACCTTTACTAGCTTCTAGTGCTACTATGTATACAGAATGTTAGAATCATGTTCACTGTCTGACAAATGAAAAAAATTATTGGGCACACAATTTAATTTAACTTCAACATTGTTATTTTTTCATTTCAGGAGTTTGTCAAGATATACAAGCAATTTTTTCCATTTGGGGATCCTACAAAATTTGCTACAATTGTCTTCAATGTTTTCGACGATAATAAGGTAAAATACTGTGAATGTTTATAATTCTCAATGGGAAATGCCAGTGTTTTTGAGTTGGGATTTTGCATTCATATGTGTTGAAAAAGGACCTGGGTGATAATCATAATTATACATTTAGTGCTGAAAACAATAAAATTTTCAGTTCCATAAAAACATATCAGCACTTGTTCTTAAAATGTATCCGCACTCATTTGAATGTTCAAAACTTTGTCACCAACATTAACGTGTTAAGCTTGTTGATGTTATACTTTCAAACACTTTTCTTTATTTACATTGTATGCAGATAAGCTATAGTGCATGATGTAAGTTGAATCTGGTCACTTGCACAAACATTTGCGAAGCACTTTTCATCATAATTTTGGCCTTTAATCTCTGAATAAATTATTACATGTATGGTCAAAACAATCACTGTACTGCATTCATGCATACTTTATACTATTATACATTTGTCACCATTACACTGGGTATTTGCATGCTACCATATAAGGAAATACGAATTTCAAATATGGAACGATTATGTGCATAAGCGTCCTCTAATAATAAAAACAAACATGGCAGCTCCCATGGTACTTTATTTGAAAATGCGAATTTCATTCAAGAAAAAGGCATGTGAATCCTTGAGAGGTTGATACTCCCGCTGTACTGTCTTCATGCATACTTCGGTATCCTCATAACAACCTCATAATATTCTCGTAATAACCTCATAATATCACTTATGCAATCTACAGTATCTACTGCAAAAGATAAAAAAGCCATACAAAAATGTGTATTATCAGATGAACTGAGAGTCCCAATTACAAAATTTGAAGAAATTAAAATTTGACCCTGGGTAACATTATTGAAGATTGGACCCCAGCATGCCTGAAAAACTGGGTCCCTCTTCAATAATTGGAGTCCGGGAAAAAAAATATGGGGTTAACGCAATTCCTGGACTCGGTGGAATATTAATGAAGTTGGGGTCTTAACAGTATTTGTGTGAATGAAATTTATAGCAATTAACTCTGTATCTATGTTGTATGACTCAACTTGTATATATGTGTGCGTGTGTGTGTACAGATAAAAATTGAATCAGCCCAGTTTGTGTTGCATTAAAGGGGCATCAAATGTCTTTTTTGTACATTTTTATCATATTTTTTAAAATGTATTTAATACTGAGTCAAAATGGCGTTTGTGATCCAAAATAAAAAACCCTGAGGTAGAATATTTGGATGTTCTTGCGATGCATATGCAAACAGCACCTAGGCAGCTAAAAAATGGGGTCGTGCTATACATTCGTAAACAATGCCTAGGCAGCTAAGAAATGAATTGTTGGTCAAGCATATAAAAACAAATCATGTAAAATATTAGGCTGTTCATACTAGTACATAGATAGGAAAATAAATAAAAAGTTTCTTGCTATATTCGCATGCTACAGCTATTACGGTACAGGGGCATGTGGTTACTCCTTTGGTAACGTTTTGGTAATTACTCTGGATTAAAAATAAAAAAAAAGTGACAAAAATACCTCTATTCTAGTTTACATGCATGTATGCGAGTAGCAACATATTGTTTTCATGATTGGTGTAATATTACAAGCTACCTGATTGTCTTGCAATAACCCCTGATGTGGTTTAGCATACTGTGGAATACTTTATTTTCGCTGGAATTAATTTTCGCTGAAAAGGCTTTTTGGGCGTTTTGTATGGACTTTATTTTCACTGATTTTTGATGAGTTTCATGTGAAATATAGGAAAAAAGGTATATTAGCCGTATTTTATTTTCACGGAATCATCCCTTCAGCGAAAATAGCAAAAATAAATTCCAAGCGAAAATAAAGTATTCTACAGTACTTCATTCACAGTGTCTTGTATTAACATTCTGGACAAGGACAAGGACAAGAAGAGTAGTTAGATCTGGCAAAACGTTAATGTATTGATCAATGGGCTGTGTATGGGCGGTACATGTAAAGGGCTCATACCACTAATTGAATTTCCATAGACGACAATGTTAACATATGACAAGATTGCTATATGAAAATGACGAAGAAAGTTGAAAATATGGCTCAAAAATGGGAAATCAACACGCCAGTAATCAACCATATGATAAAAACTAACATGTTGGCCAGCTCAAACTCTTGCAAATCTCAGGTAAACAAGACACACCTACTGTATTTGGATTGCACCAAGAGAAATCACTGGAAAAACACCAAAATTAGAACATCCATTAACACACAGAATAAACCCACAGGTACACAGCCGCTAAGTAGTAAACAAAAGACCACATGTTGGTCTCACCTCTGACCCAGATGATTACGCCCTCAAACAGGGAGCACCTGAGAAAAATAATATTTAAAAAATTTCATTGGTTCTTGCTAGGCATTTAAATTGAGGGCTACGAGCAGCCATTGGTTAATTAGTGGCATGAGACCTAAAGGGGGTAACCTTGCATACAGTCTCTTGTTTGTTTTTTTGGGGTGTTTTTTTCAATCAAATAAAATCTTTCGCGGGTGGCAAAGGGTTAATGCTAAGACCAGTGTATGGGTGGCAAAGGGTTAATGCTAAGACCAGTGTATGGGTGGCAAAGGGTTAATGCTATGACCAGTGTATGGGTGGCAAAGGGTTAATGCTAAGACCAGTGTTTGGGTGGCAAAGGGTTAATGCTAAGACCAGTGTATGGGTGGCAAAGGGTTAATGCTAAGACTAGTGTATGGGTGGCAAAGAGTTAATGCTAAGACCAGTGTATGAGTGGCAAAGAGTTAATGCTATGACCAGTTTATGGGTGGCAAAGGGTTAATGCTAAGACCAGTGTATGGGTGGCAAAGGGTTAATGCTAAGACCAGTGTATGGGTGAGAAAGGGTCAATGATATTATCAGTGTATGGGTGGTAAAGGGTTAATGCTAAGACCAGTGTATGGGTGAGAAAGGGTCAATGATATTATCAGTGTATGGGTGGTAAAGGGTTAATGCCATGACATATGTATTTGATGGCAGCTTCCTCTCACTCATATTTGTTCTATTACAATAAGTTTTCAAATAAAAGCACTCGTACATTGCATACCTGATCATTAAAATACAACATTACACGCACCTTTGTCATTTATGTAAACTATTGCATTGCAAACAGAGAACATGAAGCAATGCCAAAAAAAAAACATTGGTTAAAATAATTTCAATATATACTATCAATAAAGGATGAAACTTGAAAAGTGTATGTAATATTCAACAATGAAATATGCATATTGTATGAGGCATTACACAACACCAGTTGTTTCTGTTCTTATCTGGGTGGCATTGTTGCATAATTTTTTAAATGACTGCTGTGATTAATATTAGTTTGCCCTTGGAAAGTAATTTCATTATCCCACTGGTTATCATAGTATTCTGTCAAATATTGCCAAACATAACAACTTACTATTCTTTATTAACTTTTTTTTATTTTTGTTTGAAGTATCTCTCTAAGATGAATTAAACATTTTTTTTTCATTATTGTGTAATAACTATTATTAGTACAGTCCAATCATAACTTACAATTTATCTCGCTTAAAGCTGGCTTAAGGCCAACTTGCTTTCAAAATAACAAGATATCTAAATTGTATACTGTAATCTACCTAAATATATATATCTTATTAGAAATTTAGATAAATACTGCGGGAAAAATAGGTGAAATTGTTGATGGCAAATGATACTTGTTTACTTTACAAACATGTAAATTTTTATAAAAAGGCAAGGCTACATGTTGCTGCCAGACAGCTGAGTTGAGTTACTTCAGGATTGTTCTGTATGTCCCTACTGCTTGTTTGGGTTGGGAGAAACATGTACATGTATTACATTCTGCCCTCTTTTGCTTGAACCTTGATATAGCGCCCCCAGTGGTGTGATCTGTTTTACTTTTCTTTTTTCTCAGGATGGTTTAATTGAGTTTGATGAATTTATCTGTGCTTTATCTGTTACTTCTCGGGGGAACATGGATGAAAAATTAGACTGTAAGTATTTCATATTTTAAGTAAATTAACAACTGATATTTGTAAGTTTCCGGGAATCATTTCTAAAGGTTTTGATTGAAGGTTACTGTCACAACAGTATTGAACTAGAGTTTATATGTATAATTTGAAAGGTGTCCTGGAAAATCTATAACTGTTGCTAAAAATAGTCTACTGAATTTACCATTGAAATGTGAAGAAATGGACTGCTTGGTCAATAAGTGTGAAAAGCCAGCTCTTTCAATTATGGGGCCCTATAATTATCACAAGGAAAAAAATAATAAAAAACGGAAAATAACTGGAATAGTCCTGTAAACCAGGAAAGTCTCGGAATTTTATTTCATTTTAGGTATATATAACCTTGAACAAACAATTAAATAATGTGTTATCTATAAATTACATTTGTCTTGCAGGGGCATTTAGGTTATATGATTTAGACAACGATGGTTTTATTACGAAGCAAGAAATGCTAGATATTGTTGATGCAATTTACAAAATGGTTGGAAACACAGTCAAATTACCAGAAGATGAAAACACACCTCAAAAAAGAGTAAACAAAATATTTGCAATGATGGATAAGGTATGCTAGTTATCTTAAAGGTGGTTATATTTTGTTTGGTGTCGCGGCCATTGAAGATAAACTGAACAGAAGTCCTTAATTACTTCATCACTAGTTTCTTATTTTCATCTCAAATTCACAAAGTAGTCCTGTTTATAGTCTGCACTTTTGTTCAGGAGACTGGGGCAAAAAAAAAGCAAACTATTTTGAGTAAAAACTGAAAATTGACTCAAATTTTGTCTGTTGGCTTCTAAATTAGGGTTCATTTCCAGAAATATTGAAGAATATAAGAAAAAAGTGCAGAAAAATTTAGACGAAAAAGTGTATGCGACATATCAAGTATTTATAAAATAATAATATGTAACCAGTGTTCTCCACGAGGGGTTTTAGCAGGGCGCTGCGCCCTGCATAGGAAGTCGTGCGCCCTGCATAGGTAGTCGTGCGCCCTGCATCGGTCAATAAGCGCCCTGCATTCACATTTCCCGTCCCGATCAAATACATTGTATTGTTAGTTGAGTATTCAGTGTTCTCCACGAGGGGTTTAAGGGGGGCAAAGCGCCCCTCTTTAATTTATTTGCGCCCCTCTTCAATTTGTAGCGCCCCTCTATTTATCTTCAGCACCCTCCTTTGTTTTCGGTGACAGCTGTTTTACCAGTCCCGGAAGATA